AGAAAGGCTTTTACAAAATTGTACATCCTAAACATGAATAAGAACGCTGTTGAACTATGTATATTGTACATAATAAAGTATAAATATCCAAGCCTTAATGGTATAAATAAAGTAAAATAGTTGAATGCTTCTCGGTGTTTAGAGCAAAGCTAAAGGCCTTTATATTGTAGCAATGCTTGCAAATACTTGCTGGTTTATACAAACTTCAAAGAAAGGATTTCTATACGATTGTTCATGTGAATCATGTCCTTGTTCCTTCGATCTCATTTATTTCTTCGTACGCTGCATCAACCGGCAGCCAAAACCTGATAAACGCTGAAGTCGAGATCATTGTCTAACCTTCGATCCACTCTCCTCCGCAGAGTCTGAATTATATAGGATTTGTAGGGATAGTAGAGGATATTTAGTGGTGCGCGACGGGGGGGGGTGAGATCGATGGTTGAAGTAATTTGTCCTCCCCCCCTTAATATTACGCAATTTTACTAAAAATTCGTAAGGCTCTGCGGAGGAGAGTGCCTTCGATCGCAAAGTGACGGGGTCTAAATTGCGTCAAAATGTAAAATTTTCCCACCAAAATGACCGCAAGGGCCCAGGCTTTGTGAATCTGCGTGTACATTTTAACATTACGCATGTCAAAACAGGGTTACGACGCTTTACACGCGGGTCGCAGGCGCATTCACAGTAATTTTTATACTAAACAATGAAATATTACGCAACTTTGACGCAAAAGTGACAGAGTTTTTTTTAACATCCAAAAGAAAGATTTACGACAAGAAATAGCGCTATAACACAAGGAGTCCCAAGCCGAGTGTACAAATTAAGAATGTTTTATATAAACCGAGAAATGATGTATTTTAGGGGAAAAAGCCATGTTTTCATTGCGCGATTGTATTACGCGATGTCAGCGTGACCTGACACCTGATACTTCTGACCTAATGGCATTACATGTTTTGCCATGATAAATCCATCAAAAATCGCTTACGAAAATATATAAGCCCAAAAATAATAATCCAAAAATAATCCCACGTTTACCATTAGCAATAATGCAACTGAGTATTTTAGTAAGAATACAACCATGCCACTAAATATTTGTGGTCATTTTCAGGGAATATACTGTATCAAGCAATGGTTAGTAATATATATATACGAGTCACAAATTTTAATTGCATCAACAGTGGTTTTTGTGACGCCAATTTCCTGGGGCGGGTTGTACGAAGGCCGGATAGCGCTATCCACCGGATAGTGATTTTTTCAAGCTTTGTTAAATCAGTCGTTGATTGGTATAACTCGTATTAAAGTTTAGTATTTATAAGTTAAATGTTTTTTATACTTCTTGTGTCGTCCATATCCGTAGTTTCACAGTTTTTCAAGCATTTTACAAAGGTTGAAAACATCACTATCCGGTGGATAGCGCTATCCCGCCTTCGTACAACCAGCCCCTGATTACGAAAGTAAAAAAGCTAAAACAAAGACGAACAGCATTTACCTCGAATACTTTGCCACGACACCGGATAGCGACTTGAATGCAAAAAATATAGGAACTGAATAGAAGGTAATATTAATTGTTCGAGCATGCAGGGCAGCTATATACAAACATGACAACAAACAGCCAAGCGCGTCACCCAGCCAATGAACGAGATTATAATTTTCTCCATTCAAACAGATGCTCTCAATTGCCTTTTCTCCTAGCCTTTTCCCATTTTATATGCATGACAAGTTGTATATCGCTAAAATCGTCTGTAATTTGTAATCTACTTAGTTGTTTGCAAATGGTTTGTAATTTCATATAGGACATACATATAGCAGTAACTAGCATTTTGCACATCGCATTAAAGGAAAGCTTTTTGTAACGCCTAACAAGGCCTAACAAGGGGAAAATTGCTCTAAAAAACGTCCGAAGATTTTTTTGAAATTTCAATTAACTGCAATGCCATTGTATCTAGGGACCGAAAATGACCGAAAAGTTTCGGCGGATTTTTGCGATTTCTAGAAGATTTTTTAGAAATTCTAAACTGATTATCAAAGAGACTTTTAATCAATTTCTGGGATTCTCGTGGATTTTTCGAGATTTTGGAGTTTTTGAGATTTTACAGATTTGACCAGTTTCGGGACTAATTTTGGAAGACTTTTTTGCATTTTGAATTTCGAGTGATACTTACATCCTTCTGTAAAATGTCTACAAAATAGAATCCTTTAAGATAATCTGGAGAATTAATCCAGGAAGGTGTTCGTCGATCTTCAAGCTGTATAATAAAAATGTTAATAATATTACTGTGGCATTTGTATATCCAAATTCATCAGAAAACTTTGTCTCCAAAGAGCTCAGTAAATTGTACATCGCAGGGAAAGTACTGGTTTAAAAATGTATACGAAATTCACGTTAGAACACTTACCAATGGCGATATAACTCTTTGGTGCTATGCTGAACGCAAATGTGAGGAAATAAACTGGGCAAGACACTTAAATAAGGCGTCCACTGCGGCTATTTGCATAAAATGAATAAACAGCAGGTATAGCGAAAACACAGATCAGGGATATTTATAGAACTAATTGTTGAAGAATTTTCTAGATGGAAATTTCGAGTAATTTTATAATAATAATAATAATTTATTATTTATATTGCGCAAATCTTATCCATATGTATATCAAATAACCTAACCATGCAGAAACAATTGCGAAAAATACAATTAAAAAGTATAAACGCCCCTTTGGCGTTGGCAGGAATCGATGAGCAAAAGTATAGTAGTATAGGTTATTTTGAGGCAACGAGGGGATATGTGATTTATTCACCGACGCGCGAAGGGCCGAGGTGAATAAACACGTATCCCCGAGGTGTTCGCCGAGGTGTTCACATTGGTTACATTTTAGGGGACGTATATAGAAAGAAATTCGTTATGAAAGACATTTAATAAAACAAGTCCAAAACACTGATCACTTATGTTTCAGAAAGAAAAAAGACAAAGCATGATGATTAGGGGGGGATATTTACGATAGCCGAGAAGGGCCATGACTGTAAACATTCGCCGTTTTTTTTTACAGACCGGACGCGATTTAGCAACGCGACGCGAATTTTCAATTTTCAATGACATTTAACTTTAATATTTTTCTATGTTTTTCAAATATTCGGAACCACTTAAACAATTTTAGATATTTGGTCTGCATATCTTTTTATCCGTTGACGGTTTTATTTGTTTTTAAAAACTGAAAATTCGCGTCGCGTGTTTTTTCAATGGGATAATGAATTAGACGCGACGTTTTTTCAATGCGATAATTGCACGCGACGTTTTTTCCAAATATCACACGCGACGTTCTCGAAAATTATATACACTCGCCATATTTTTAAGACGGTTACGTTTTAAACTGAGGGTTTCACTTCGGATGAAGATGGGAGCAATTATATATTAGTGTGTTTCATTAAAACAAAAAGTCCTGTAAATACAGCTTCACTTTTCAGTCGGTTATGAATATAATGTTTTCTTTTGTGTTTTCCAAACTAAACAAAAAAGCTTTGTGTGTTTCAGCGTTGCTATATCCCTGTGCCACACATTGATTTTGTTGTATCATTGCAAGCGTATACGATGGCAAGACACAAACATTTATATGAAGAAGTGCATTTATATGAAGAAGTGCATTTATATGAAGAAGTGCATTTATATGAAGAAGTGCAACAAGTAAAATAACTATGACCCTGTACTTTATGAGTGTTCACAGTGCATGCAGTGAACCGAGTAACGCTCGATAACACGTTGACTACTATCTCCTTAATCTAATAATCCGCCTTTGAAAAAGAGTGTTTTGGAACGCCGTGGTAGTATACCTAGGCTTATGAGAAATGTTTTTAGAACCATATAGATAATAAAAATACTATAGGGTATTGCATATAAGTTAACAGGCACAGAAAATAATTTATTAGGAAGAATACTAAACCCAAAATTACTTTGAACCCAAAATTTATAATCCCCCAAAAATTTAGAATTTACTCTGCCGCTCCAAGTGTCATCCGAATTTAACCAAAATTGCTGACAAACACAGACAGACACACATACAAACGCGGACGAAAACATATCCTCCTCGCTGAGATAAATAGAACAACCTACATGAAACAATGCGGCTATTTCATAAAATTAAGGTTGCAGAACACCTTTGAGTGTTAATTTTGCCTAAAATTTTAATATTTGTTTGCATGAAAGCATTAGACTAGTTCTACTATCTGACCAAGTTTGGACGAAAAATGTTGAAAACTCGCAGAGTTATTTAATAAAATACATTTCGCTTGCAATAAGAAAAACATTAAAAATGTAATATTCAAATTCAATTTTCTCCCGTAGAATTTTACGGCAATTACTGATTTTCAAACGAGTTGTGCTCCTGTGGGTTTTAACGAATTTTTCTCAAATTTTCACAGGACATAGCTAAAGACGTCAGTTTCAAAATGGTGTTCGGCTTTGTTATAATTTTGGATATTTTAATAATAAGGAGCAATTCACACAAAAGCTTCAGAAATATATTGCAGTCGTCAAAGAAATCGCCATATCAGCGGGATGACGAAATAAACAAAAATTTCCGAACACAATTTTTTAGAACAACTATTTACTGTATAAAAATGATATTTTCATAAATATATCTTAAAACCAGCAGGAACATAACTCAAAAGCGTAAAGGTACCTCGACTTAAGATTTTCCTGAATAATTCTTACATTATTTTACTGTTTGCCAATTTTACAACTTTATCATATTTTGCATGCACTGGCTAACATTTGGTGAAAATTTGATGAAAATCGGACTGATTTTGAGCGCGCAGTAGCGATTTTCCA